CGGCAGACCGGGGAGAGGGGGAGCAAGGCGGCGGAGGCCCCAGGCCGGACCCGCGGCGCTGATCTGGAAGCGCCGCGGGTCCGGCCCCGGGTCCTCCGCCGCTTTGCTCAGCGTTTCCCTGGTCTGCTGGCTCCCCCAGCAGACCAGGGAGATGGGGAGCAGCTTTTCTCGCCCCAGAGGAGGCGGGCAGCGGGACCAGGTGTCCCGCCGCTTCAGTCCTCCGGGGCGAGAAAATCACCGTTCGTAACTGCGGATCCGACATAAGTCGGATCCGCGTAACTCGGGGACTGCCTGTATAGACATACCCTCAGTCAATTTCACTGGCTATATAACTCTTTTGCATCACTGGAAGTAGACTGTACGGCAGTATGGAAATTCCATTTTGTAAAAAAAATCTTGGGCATTTGTCTTCATTCTGATTAGGAAAGAAATCCATAAGCTTTTCAAAATTTGCACTGAAATAAAATTCTGAAAAAAAAATCATTTGGTCTTGGCCATTATTTTATTTGCCATTCTACAGGTTGAACCTCTCTCGTCTGGCACCCTTAGGAGCTGACTGGTGCTGAACCAGAGAATTTGCCAAAGCATCAGAGGTCAATATTGTCTAGCAGCCTTACCAACACTTCCACTGCTTACCAGGCTCTTAGAAGACATTTACAGATAAATTAGAGTTAAATAACAGCACAGAACACTGAGAGTCAGGACTGGTGGCTGTAAATAATCTTTATGGAACTGCAGGAAGCTTCACCACACTCATGATAAGTGGACTTCTGGCTAAAATCATGCCAGACCATGGATATTGCTGGACGAGAGAGTGCTGTACTAGAGAGGTTCAACCTTTAATACAAAATTAAATGAAAAGTTATTTCCAAGTGGAAAATTCAGATATTTCATTCTGAAAACGTCAAAATGGGATATTGCAACATTGTCAAATGCATTCTCTGATGGAAAATGGCTTTATCAAAGATTTTCCAAGCAATATTGCTGTCATGATGTTAAGCAGCCAAAGCGTGAGTGGGGAGTAGGATCTGCCCTATGGTGAGTCCAACCATCAAGTGAAGATACTCTAAGGCTGGGTCTACACTAGCATCCCTTCCGGAAAAGGGATGCTAATGTAGCACATCGCAATTGCAAATTCCGCGGGGGATTTAAATATCCCCCGCGGTATTTGCATTAACATGGCTGGTGCTTTTTTCCCGCTTGGGGATAAGCCGGAGAAAAGCGCCAGTCTAGACGTGATTCTCCGGAAAATAAACCCTTTTCCGGAGGATCTTTTATTCCTACTTTCAAGTGGAATAATGTGAGGGATTCATAAACAGCAAGACAGCCATCTGACTGAGATGCTGTTTGGCTAAATCTTCTCTAGTGTCTGATATAATTACACAGATGAATGAATGCCAAAGATTTATGGCCCTTGAGAGCTAATTATTTAATATCTTTTATCCTACATAGCTGCCCACACATTGTCAAAGATGAAACACTGTCAGTAATAATGAATGGCGAAGGTGCAGAAGCAATGTTTAGGATTCAGATGTTCAAGTTTGTGGGCATCTCTTACAAAGACATTTTCCTGCATTGCACAGTTCAGATTTGTCACAATTCAGCAGCTGTTTGCAAGCCAGTAAGTTTTTTTTATATATCCATGTGTGCATGAGGATTGGGAGTGGGATTATTATTATCATTCTAAGTGGAGGAGCTATGTTGTCTAATAGACTGAGGCAAGTCTAGAAATCATGAGTGTCTAAATTCTAATCTCTGCCACTTACTTGATATGTGGCCTTGAGCAAGACACCTAGCCCTTTGCTTCAGCTTTCCCATCTACAAAATTAGAAGAGTAATCCTTAGTGCAAGATGTCGGAATGACTTATCAGAAACAAAACCCAGGAGCCGTCAACATGGTTTTATTTAAGGCTAATATTTATAACTAGAAATCAAATCAAGTTAACTTAGTACAAAAGAGTAACAGCAAACTTCCTCTGCCAGAGTTTCACTCTAGTTCTCCAATTCTTGTGAACTCCATTCCCGCTGGTGTTTCCCTCCACTGTCTCCCAAGTAGCCCATTTTTAGTTCTTCCCCTATTTGAAGGGAGGGAAAGTTGAGCTTAACTCATTACTCATTAAGGACAAGGTAGTGTCCCTGCCTGCCATCACATTTGCCTAACTCTCAGCATTGTCATGAGAAATTGTTTGTATAGCAATTTGAAAATGAAAAATACTCATTACTGTCATCCAGTGGCCCTAATTCAGACCTGCCAGGGCAACAGTCCCATTGACCCCAAAGAGTATTTTGCCGGAGGATGGGCACATAGTTTGGATTGATTTTTAATACTGTTTTTAAGGCATCATCAATGTACCTAGTGTTGTACAAACACATATAAAAGGGCCCTTCTGCTGGAAGCTTGCAGCTTAACTCAAACATGTCAATATGATAGCAAAATATATAGCAGAGATTGCATTCTTTTCATCAGATAATATGGGAAAAAGCATGAAATATTAGTTGATCATAGAGGTGCTATAACTAAGTGATATTTACCAGTACTCAGATGACAATTTATCAGCTCATGACATAGAAAATGAGTTTTTAAATGGGAGCAATATTCTACCTCAGAACAACACTCTTCCTTCCAACTGTCCACACAGCTGAATTTTATATTATATTACAGTGAACGCTTTTTTATCCGCCACTCCTTCGGAAAGGGGGTTGCTGGTTATTTGAATGTGCTGGTTAACAAAGCTTATTGCTCTGCCCTTGCCCCCTACTGGAAGATCTGTCTCCCGGCAGCTGGAGGCAGGCTGAGGAAGAAGGAGGTGCCTGCAGTGCCTCTTGTCGGAAGCCCCGCAGTGCCACTTGTCTAGCTCCTGGCTAGACAGGCAGGAGTCAGACAGGCGGCTTGAAGACGCGGTGGTATTGTGGTTGGGGGCAATGCCGGTTAACAAAGTTTTCTGGGTATCAGAGTGGCGGATAACACAACTTTCACTATAATAGCAAGGAGATTGATTAGATCTTTGTTTGCCATATGAAACAGGAGAGAAAACATTCTGATACCACAAAGCAATATAGAGTATAATTTGCTATGTACTTTTCTGACATTGATTCAGAATGCAGTATCATTGTGAATGATTTTTGATGGTAGATTGTTTTAACATTAACAGCAGCTGCAAAATAATGACAGGCTTTGTACATAGATTTGTTTCCTTAAGTATTACATCAGAAAAAGCTACCCGGATGACATACCAAGCGAGGGAAGTAATCAAGGAGGAAATCAGTATGACATTTTGGAAACTGATTCTGATAAACCAGGTGCTTTGTCTGAAAGTCACACAAGACAGTATCTCAGCACAAGTAAAATCTGCCACAGCCCATTTAGGGTATGCATCTGTTCCCTGATACATGTGTCATTTGTTGCTACACTCCTAGCTCTATTAGCTGATTTTTATAAGCTGCCCAGATAACAATTTATAACCTCTAAATAAAAGCCCAGCCTCTTTTGACCTGGAATCTCTTTTCATGTATACTGGTATAAATCCAAGTAAATCCACTGCAGTCAATAGACTTACTCACATGTAAAGTTGATATAAGTGAGAATCAGGTCTTAAATATCTGGGACAAAATTCAGACCTAGCATAACAAATTACAATACTATAGGGAAATACCATAGTTCAAAAACCATTGTACTAAACCCTTTTATGTCATGACTGAATATGGCTCTAGTGTTGGGTAGATTTTTTAGTCCTTTACCTGCTAACTAGGTTTTGGAACAAGATGAAATTGTGCATGCTGACAGTCTAATCTATGGGTTGGGACCTGTTAAAGCCTGACCCAGATGAAAATGCTTACATGGACCGGCACTGCAAATGTTGGGAGTATGTGGATCCCAGTTGACCGTCACTGCAAATGTTGGGAGTATGTGGATCCCAGTTCCTTAGTAGAAAAGTCATAGGAGACTTTAAGTAAAAGCTTTGTGGCTGCACATATTAAATGAGCCAATCCTCTTCCTACAGATCTGCACAACTCCCACGACACAGGACATTCACAAAGCTCCAGCAGCAGCACCATGTGTTTATGAACAAGAGGGAATAACTACAGCCCTGGTAACTTCCCTGCACTGTTGTAAGTGGCGGGATTGATGGGCTCAGAGCCCAACCAATGAAGAGAGCTTTATTTCTGTCTTTGCAGCTGACCAGTCCCGAGCGTGTTGCAAGGGAGTGAAAGGGATAGAATTTCTGCCTCCTGATCTTTGTTTTGTTATGGATGCAGAAGGTTTCTTGAATCCTGATCCTTGTTTTTTTAAATTCTCATCTCCCAAATTGTACAGCTATTCAGATATATAAACCTTTCAATATGCCCCCTCCAGATTACTGAGTACTGGGGAAGAACCCAGTCTCCCACAAGAATGTTGAGATTCCCTATCATTGCTAAGTGGAATTCCCCAAAATAATCCCCAAGAACTAGATTGCCAATATAAAACTTGGGCTGGGAGAAGCCTCTAATTTTGTCGTTGGACAGAGGAAAGTACAGGATGACAGGTTTGGCCTGTGAATGCAGGACATCACACTAGAGATTTCTCTTCCATGACTGCAGAGACTAAAGGGTTTGTATAGTTTCCAGGGAACAGCAGCCGTGGAGGAATATTTTGGCCGGCTCAAGCTCATTGTTTATTTTGGGGTATAAATGAGAGAGGCCAAGTTTATTAGTATCTGAACATTATTCCTTCTGGGTGTGCAAAACAGTTTTTTAAAATCTGCATATTCATTGTCCTATTGCTACCCCAGCCACGTCTCCTTCCCAGCAGGATTACTCACTTCTGGATCTTGTCAATGTTTTGTACTGAGAGCTCTGTGTCTGGCAGAAGTGCTCCTGATTTATCCACTTGTGATTTATCCACTCCAGCTTTATGTGATGCCAACCGAGTGCTAGCCATTCTTACTCTAACAGCAACTCTTCTTTACATCTGCAATGCACCAAAAGTTAAACCATAACTATGCTTTCCTAGTGGGTATATAAAATTTTCCTCTATGAGATTAAGCTCTGCTAGAGAATAGCATTTATTTGCACTAGATAAACTAATATGGATCTTTTCCTTTAGCCAAACTTGTTAATATTTGAGAGAAAGAACTAAGAACACAAGGCTGCAAAGTGAGCAGATGCCTCCTACATGGGTTCAGAGGCTTGTTGTAATCCCCAAATCTTTTTAATTATTATCAAAATGCTTAATGTTCTGCAGCCTAAAAACTACATTTCAATTTACTTCCATATCCAGTATTTTATTAGTGCCAGACCTGAAATATAAGTACTGCTAGAAATTATGCATTAAGGTATCAGATAAGAACCCTATAGTTTGTGATCAAATGTCCTGAAACATCTTATGTTCTCTCGTTGTTGTTACATATATATAAATATATACATATGTAACAACAGAGAGAGAACATAAGGGGTGTGCATGTGTTTGTGTATACACATACACACAATGATTTATTCTATTTAATTTTTCTACACACACAGATCATTGCAAATTCATTTGTAGATAACTTATCTTGAACACATAGATTTAAGGGAGTCTTTTGTTTTTCTAAGTTACTTTGATGTTTGTAAAAGATTGGAGTGTATTTTCCTCTGCTGCCAGTTTATCCAGAAAATAACTACAGAACAATCAGCAGCTTACAAACTTCCCCATACTTCCCTAATGCTAAATTGTGTAGGGGTAAGAGGGCACTTCAACTATCAAGTCTAGTTAGTCCTTTGTCTCTGCTCAGAAGAACATAAAGGGTGCCAGTTAGCACAGTGGCTTTTTTCTCCTTGTCCACTAAAATTGAACCTACTAAATTAATTTCTCACAAGCAACTGCACAGCTAACAGATGGTAACAATGTAGCTTTGCTCACAGGTAACCCCACTGAGTTTAACAAAACTACTCTTCAGCATAGAGAAGCACATGCATCTGTGAGCAAGATCCGGTCACTACTGATCTGACCTGACCTGAATTTGAGCCAGTGACCTACATGATAAGGGTTTGTGTTCCAATAAGAGTCTCCTGAACAGCAGATACTCTTGCTTTGGACTCCAGGACAAGCTCTGTCTTAAGTATTGAGCGTATGATATACTGATGTGTGTGTATGGTTGTCACTGCCCTCTCTTGGAGCAAGATGACTCTGCTCATCTCAGACACTGCTCTTCAGAGCATTGCTCAATTCTGATGCTCCTTCATCTCATCAGAGGCTTGTGTTTACCAGGTAGTTTTAAGTGTAAATTCTTGACCTACCTTTGAGGATCATATATGCACGGATACTTACTGTTTGCAATTTCTTTTTAACAGAATTGTACTAATTATGGTAAAATAACCAGAAATAAAAGAGAAACAACACTATTTCTTACTCACACAGTCTCATATGGTCCCATCAAGAGAAAGCTGGCAGATGATGGAGAAACTAATAAAGGTACATGATTTAAAAAACCATGTTTCAAAACATAATGTTTTATGTAGACTGATGTGATCCTTTGTGGCATATTTTACTTTAAAAAAATCATAAATGTTTAACAGGAAGGTTTTATTTTTAAACATACAAAATCCAGAAAATTAAAATTCATGAATACACAGACAACTTAGCTTCTTTGACCAATTCACATTAATTATCAGTATGTACCAGTTCCTAGATGGTTCTGAACAGCTTAAACTCCCCCAGTGAAGTCATTGGGAGTTATCATTGATAACTTATGTTGTCATTCATATGGCATTATGCCTTATTATGAGTGAGCTGTGATGGAAACCATAAATATGAGTTTTCTGATGTATTTGATTAATTCATTCTATGTTGCTTTAACTTACAATGACTTTTTTTAAAAAAAGGAAAGCTGCCAGTGAATTCATCTAAGTTTTGTAGAAAAATGAAGTAATTTCACGCATAAAGAACTTGTTATCAGTTCATTGCTTTCAATAAATCTTTTAGTTAGTTCTAAAAATTCCTCTACGCTGATGGTCAGCTAATAGAGATGGTATCTGAGAATCAGAGGGCCTTGAGATATCATACAAGGGAAAAGGGCATGTGACAGGTTGAGACCCCTGAGGTGCTTAGACACTATTGAGACTCCCTTCTCTGCCAACCTAGTCCCTCAGTTAAGGGGCTTGCTGACCCAGGCCTCCACTAGCAAAACCCATGGGCAAGGCCACATCCAGCTGCAGATACAAACACTGAGAACAGCTCTGGGAAAACTCAGCACCCAGATGCTCACTGCTCCCCCTTCCCTCCTAGGGTACAAACCCCAATTTAAATAAAATTTGCCTTCTTCCTCATTATGAAGGTAGGTATACATAGCCTCTCACTGACCCCCATTAGAAATTACATAAACTGGGTTATATTATAAACCAAAAATAAGTTTATTAACTAAGAAAAGGTGTGTTTTAAATTGTCAAAGAGGTAGCAAATAGAGCAGAGGAAATTACTAAGAAAATAATACAAAACACGCAATCTAAGATAGATACATTAAAAAAACTAGTTACATGTAAGATCTCACCCTAAATGTGGTTCTAATAATCTTGTTCACAGGCCAGACATCCTTCCACTGTGGGCCAATTCCCTTCTCCCAGTTCAATCTTAGTTGTTTCCAGCAGTCATCTTGGGCGGGGGGGAGTAGCTGAGAACTGACAACCTAGATTACCTGACTTCCCACCCTTAAATAGGATTTGTATAAGCCAGGAGTCCTTTGTTTCATAATTTGACCTCATCCCAGCTTCTCATGGAAAAGTACAGAATTTAAGATGGGTTCCAATATCAGGTGACATGGTCACATGTCTCTGTAGGGTCCTTGTAGCCATTCTTCCTAGGCTGACACGTGTTTGAAGAAAGGTTACGTTCTTTTACAGTTCATGTCTCTGGCTGATGGGCCATCGGTACTGCCTGGTTTTTCCATTGTAGTCCCTGAAGTGCCAGTAATGAGAGTGACCCAAAGCAAGTATCCTACGTATTCACTAGAATAGATGAACCATTGGTGTGATGTCATATGGCAGTTCTTATGTTCTTAAACTGAATAGCCTGTTCCTTATATTCACTAAGGTCTATTTTGGCAGTGCAAAAGGGCCTCAGAGTGTGTCTAAATACAATTATGCTACTACCTTCTCTACACTCACTTTACATTTATGCTCACCTCCACTGTGAGAGTGGAGTAAAACATCCCTAGGTCAAAAAAATGAATATTGATGTTGGTGTAATCTTTGTAAACTACTTTCCGGGGCTCTCCTGTTTCTTGTTTATATAAGGCCACATTACACAACTCTGGCTATGTGAAAAGGCTTTAAAGTGAACATGAATCATAGCTGCACTCCCTTTATAGTCCTTTACACTGTCAGAGCAGAGTGGAAGGGGCATTAGTATCCATGAGAATAAAGCCCAATATCTGCATTTTTAGGTTTGGGATTTTTATCTGAAGACTTCTTCCATTTTCATCAAATAGAATCCAATCCTAGTATAGACCCCACTGGACATACAAAGACTCAGGGTATATCCGCACAACAGAATTTTGTAGCCTCAGGGAATGGCCATACAACAGAATTCTTAGTCTACATAATACATGGCTGTGAGTCTCACACTTCACCTCCTGCTTGAACCTGAATTTCAGGTGTGGTTTCTTTCTTCCTGCCATTACAAATCAAGCTAACTTTTCCCAAGATATGTGAGTCTGATGCCCTTCCTTTTGCTGGCCTTCTGCAGCTTATGTATTCATTGAGCTCTGTAAACTGGGTTCAGAATTGGATCCTAATGAATTTTTATACTTTTAAGACTGGAAAAACACCTTCTGTCCTAAGTTATAATATTTTCAGATGGATTTGATGATAGAGAAGACCTTTGTAAATCCTTTCTGTTCTTTTCCCCCCAGATAGAGGAGAATTTACACCAGTTGAAACCTGGATCCTTGGAGGAGTGCTAATGGCATTTTTAGTTTTAACTGGAGTCTTTGGAGCACTTTTGCTTAAGTCAAGAAGAGCATACCCTCCTATAGAACCTCAGCTGATTATATCATATTTTCATAACTCAGAAGCAGCATCATGATTAGATGATCCCCGCATCTTAAAGCATTTGACCTGAGTTGCAGCAAGGGTCATGAAGACAAATAGGGTGTTGATCTCAGATTAATGTTTATTTTATACATGTAAATAATTGTTATTAATGATTCAATTAAAGTTCACATATTATTAATAAGGCTCTATTCTTGTGTTCATTTTCATAAAAGATAGTACAATTGATTATAAACAGGTAAAGAAATGTGTGCTGAAAACCTTTAATTATGTTTTCTGGGTATTTTAATGTACCACAGACTAGTCATTTCCCTCTATTTAGAAAACCCAGATATATTTCACCTCCTCCTATTCTACCCAAAAAGGCCATCCCAATTGTTATGACATAATCACCAACTGGCCACTGTCGCAAAGATAAACAGCCTGCTTCTGACTAAAGGGGAGTCACTGGTAGAAGTCGTGGAACAGACACTTAAACTGCCACTGTTCAGTTACTGTGATAGTATCAAAAGTATCATTTGCAGCAATGGTGAAAAATCTGCAACTTGTGAGCCACATGCAGCCCATTTGGGTTTTCTGTGTGGTTCACAAGATATTTTGTTTACTGTTGCCCCTTTACAGGGCTGCCAGATTCCACTGGTTTCCATTCAGTTAGGGTTTTTTTTCCTACTGGTGTTACTAAAATGACATGCACATAAAGCAAGGGGTGGTGAAGTGAGGTGTGTGCTGATTGCATGCAACATTAACTGTTTAAGCCATGCACTCCCTCTGCATAGAGCCATTCCTGCGCCCCAGGCAGTGGACACGTGACGCATTGGGTGACTCCACCCCTGGGCGCACAGCGCATGCACAGCCCCTACCCCCGGTGTGCTGCGCACTTTACAGCTGCAATCGGGCGTGCGGCACCTGATTGCAGCTCTAAGGGGCGCTGTGCGGCCTCCGACCCCGGGGCACCTGATGGCAGCTCTAAGGGGCACTGCGCGGCCAGGCGCACGGTGCCCCTTATAGCTGCCATCAGGCGCCCCCTCCTAGGTTGGCGCCCCAGGCAGCTGCCTGGCTAGCCCCCCCCTTAATCCGGCTGCCTCTGCATCCAATCAAAATGCTGCTATGGTTCAACCGTCACACCCGGCAAATTCTAGGTATGCAAGCGCAGTTAGCAAAACTACCCTATCGCGGGAGACATCTTGGTTATGACTTGCAGCCCACTGAGATGAAGGAGAGTCACTTGTGTGACCCACTCACCATCCCAGGTTTCCCATCGCTTATTTGCAGGATCATCAAAGTCGTCAGTGTTCTACTCTTCCAAGTCAACAAGTTTCATTCATGGGCACATTTTAGTTCAAAGTACAAGAAGAAACTAAGTTTCTGCATTCTTTGAGATGAGTATTAATCCTTTGTATCTTGCTACTTAACACTTTTTGATTGATTCAAGGGACCTGGTTACCTCATGATCAAAATGAGCAAAGTAGACCTAATCCCATTCCCATAATGGTGTTAAAATACTAGACAGGCCACAATTTGTTATAGAAACTCAAGTGTCAGCTGGCTCTCTACAAGTTATAACTATTGTAACTAGGTGTGGGAATAATTGAATTGAAAGCAGGGAGGGACCCTGACTCCGTCACAATGGTAATGTAAAAAGGGGTTAAACATGCACTATTTTCCTACAAGGAAACAGGCCTTTTTTGATTAAGGGCAGAGTGCATTGAGGCAACAGCAAGAGAATCCAATAGATCATGAGACCTTCTCAAACCACTTCTCTTACAATGTCAGTAAGCTAAATGGAGTAAGCCCTTAGATTTGTTGCTATTCAATGACATTACAAAAGGAACCCATTTTACTATTTTACTGTTTGATGTAACTGGCACAGATGGGCTTTGCTAGAAAGGATTGTGAAGTGCCACCATGGGGATTTATTTTTTTTTTAAAAATCGAGGTATCAAATCTTCCAGTGTGCCTGTGTTTGAAAAGTTGGCCCACAATGTGTATTTGGAACTTGGTATGAGGTCTTGGTATAGTATTGTTTACATATATATTCCCTTCTGAGATCTGAGCTTACAAAGAGTAGAACTTGCATATACAAATCTGCAGGCAAAATTTGATACTAAAATTTTGATTTTTACACCCTAATAAATGGAAATGCTTGCACACTTGCATCAATTGCAAATACGTGTTGAAAGCATTTGTACCTATTTTCATATTTATAGCAAAATTTAAAATACTTTTGATGTACACAAGATTCCCATGCACAAATCTTTGCAAGAGAAAAACTATTCTGAACTTGGGTATTTATATCAACTTGAGAGAGTGCTTATATATTTTAAAATTTATGGGAACAATTGGCATGCAAGACGACTGATTCTTGGCAAATGATCTGAACGTGTTTGTAGACTTGGAAATGTCTAACATTTTACTCACAGTTACTAATTTGCAGGAGTTTCTCAGAGCCTACACACATAACTGAATAGCTAGGCTCTGGATCAGAGTTTTTATTTCAGACTGGTAAAAAGAACCGGATAACATTAGGAATCTGCATAATTCTCACTCCAAGCTACCACTAACTTTAATGGGATTCAACATACAAAATAATACTGGTCCAATTACAGATACTCATTTTCCCTTAGTAAGTTACCACAGAGAAGTTTCATTCATGTTGGACCTGAGCCATCAGAAAACTGCCTTCACAGTTACTTACTCACAGAACCCTCTCAGCCTTCTGGACCACGAAGCAATGGAAACCACTGCCTATTGTGCTGATGGCAGTACCATACTTTAGAAACCACAGAATGCCAACTATGTGATTGCACCCATACTGAGTGATTACCCTAAATGGTAACCCTGTTCATGGAAATGTTGGTTGGTGGATCAAAGGGGGAGAGCTGAGTCTGAGCAAGTCCACTAATGTCTTAATGGAAGGGTGGATTCTGCCCTGAGGGACTGCACATATACAGATGAGATGAGCCAAGGATATAAACAAAAAAGCCCATGTACTTGAAAATGATTCCCCCTATTCAAAAAATTAGGACAAGGAGATCCCCTATCTCAACAGGGCTATGTCTACACTCACAGCTGCTTGTGTCAGAAGTATGCAAATGAGGCTAAGCATGGAATATTGCCGAGCCTCATTTGCATACCTAATGAACCACCATTTTTGCAGAAGAGGCTCTTGCGCCAGAAGGAGCTATCTACGCTGCCCCTTCTTGCACAAGAAAAACCCTTTTGCACAATGCCGTTATTCCTGAAAATAATTGGCATAACGGCATTGCACAAGAGGGTTTTTCTTGTGCAAGAAGGGGCAGCGTAGATAGCTCCTTCTGGCGCAAGAGCCTCTTCTGCAAAAATGGTGGTTCATTAGGTATGCAAATGAGGCTCGGCAATATTCCATGCTTAGCCTCATTTGCATACTTCTGACACAAGCAGCTGTGAGTGTAGACATAGCCCTGTTGAGATAGGGGATCTCCTTGTCCTAATTTTTTGAATAGGGGGAATCATTTTCAAGTACATGGGCTTTTTTGTTTATATCCTTGGCTCATCTCATCTGTATATGTGCAGTCCCTCAGGGCAGAATCCACCCTTCCATTAAGACATTAGTGGACTTGCTCAGACTCAGCTCTCCCCCTTTGATCCACCAACCAACATTTCCATGAACAGGGTTACCATTTAGGGTAATCACTCAGTATGGGTGCAATCACATAGTTGGCATTCTGTGGTTTCTAAAGTATGGTACCTGCCACAGCATTCTGGCAATAGAAAGCATAAATTCTGTTTAGCAGTAGTTTTCAACTGGATTGTGCACTCCAGGAATTTGCAGACTAAGAAGTTCACAAAAGGTGGTGTTACCATAGCAGTGGTTTTCAATCTGAGGTCTGCAAGCAATGTCTAAGATTTCCAAAGGGGTCTACACCTCCATTTGAAATGTTTAGGAGTCTACAAATAAAGGTTTAGCTAGGTTGATTTAGCTACACATAGAATTCAATTCACAATCCCAGTTGAAGATAGCAGTACTACAAAAACTCCCATAGGCTGCACCAACCTAAATGAAGATACAGTGCCAATAGTGAGAGTTGAATTTTCTTCAACTCCTTGAGAATCTCTGTAGTTGTCTGCTTATGAAGGTGTTTTGTTTTGGCTTTTGTAGATAGGCATGGAGCCAGTCCTTACTGTCTTCTCAAGCTTACTAGGTGGGATATTTGTATATCTTGATACTGTAATCAGATCTATGCAGAAACAAAGATCTCTCAACTGGAATCTGAATGAAGGATCAAGGCTTTTTGTAAATGTTGAAAAACTAGCAAATATTCATTACAAGCAAATATGATCCCTGTCATTAAACCGTGTTCCATGTCTATATGGAACCTTTGGTGTATTAAAAAACCAAACCAAACCAAACAAAGTCATCCTCTAGCACCTACAGGCATGTCTCCACTAGGAAATTATTCTGAAATAACTAAATTCAAAATAACTCCCGAAATAACTATTTCAAAATAAGCTTATTCCCTGAGGAAAGCTGGAGTACAGATTTTAAAATAATCAGCCTATTAGTTCACAATAACAGGCTGAACAGTGCTGAGACTCCACTTATTTCAAAATAAGGGAGTTTATTTTAAAATAACTCCCTAATGTCAGGACTAACAAAAAAAAATACATGTCTGTTGTTCTTGGAACTAGTAAGAAGTCCTACCAGTCTAACTAAAAAGCCATGCCTCTAGTCTGTATTTCTTACAATACACTTCATAACTATGGACTAAATGCAGAGAGATGCTGAGCACCCTAAGTATTCTGCATCTCTCTGCATCTGACCCTTCAAAAAGAGTTTGCCTGAGTGGAGGACTTCAGAATTGGAAGAAGGGCTGGGAAAGATCAGCACGCTTGTGCCTACTCTGCTCACCCCCGTTTTTCTCCCGGTGGTGGGATTTAAATTCGAGCCACGTCACCCCTTATTCTGGGAACACATTTCAAATGCCAACAATTGTTTTAAAAAGTTTTCTGATCCCAGGTTCCATAAGCGGTCACATGGAACCACGTGCCCGTGTAAATCATGACCCGGCACAAAACACGGACACCGCCCTCCACGCTCACTGCAAGTCACCGCCCTACCCCCGCCCGCAGCCTGGGGAGACTCCGCGGGCGCAGCTGGACTCTGGCTTCTAAGAACGTGGAGGGCGGAGGAGGCGGGGCAGGGGCGCTGCGCGCGGCACCCAGGACAGAACCCTCGCAGGGTGACAGCAGCTTCACCCCTCAACGGACCAGCGCCCGCCTCCGAACTCAGGGCTACCCCCAACCAGCCCACAAAAGAAGGGCGGGGGGAGGAAACATCCGGGAACTGAACGCGCCGCACGCGCGCTCACTTCAGTGAGAAGTTTCGTCCCGCCCCCCTCCGCCGTGCGTCATGGCGTCACCGGTGACCCGCCCTGCCCCCACTGCATGGACCTGGGGGAGAAAGACGCTGCCGGCAGTGCCAGTCCCGGGCGGGGGGAGTCGGCGCGCGCACTCTCCCTTCCTCCATCCCGGAACCGGATCGAATCCGGGGGGCCGTCGGGACTCTCTTGCTCGCTCTCTGTACGCGCGCGTGCCCGTCCGCCCGCCGGTTGGAGACAGCAGCGAAC